TTTCTCGTGCACATAACCGTATATGACTTTGTTCGTTATACTCTCTAGTTTTTTTTGCGACATTAAAAAACATAAGTTTCCGGACAGATAATTGCAAACAATCAAATTAAAAGCCTCTTGATTGGTACGACGGCCATATTGGGTGGTTTGAATCCGTGCATTCCTGAGTCTGACAACAGTCCGCTCAAGTGACTACTCGGACCGAATTTACCAGGTTATATGGAACACATGTGCAGTGTTGCCGTATGATCATTAGGGGTTAGACCAACGAGAGTCAAGTGTGAAATTGAATAAAATATTGTTCACAATATTCATTGAAGAAATTCCTGAAAAAATGTATTCGACAATGAAAAATCCGAAAAAGTATGGGGACGGCAAGATTTTCGACAAAAATGAAATCTTGCTTGAAAAAAAGTTGCCAATTTGAACGAACTACTTGGATATCCTTAAGGATCATTTCGGGAAAGCTTCTCCTCTCCATCAGCTGATAAATTCATACTCCGAGATTAACCTCAAACACGATAACCAACGATTCCCCATTTCGTGTGTTCAAAATTAAACCTCAGATTTCAGTGATATTAAACAGACTCGAATAAATGAACACCACAGAGGACAAATAATATTCATAACCAGTTGAAAAGACGGGGTATTTTCGTGACATCGCCCGGTACAAATAATCCGTGTGTAGGGGAGTTGAGCATTTCCGTTGATATTTGGCATTATATACCAAAACCGTTAATTCCTGTCCCATGTTATGCTGTTGGGTGTGCTCCCGCGTGCAGTTAATAATCTCTCTGCTGCTCTCTTTAGAGGTTTCGGTGAGGTACACGCGATAAATAGAAGGGAAGTTTAGATGCCAAAAAAAACGGAACGAGGAACTAAAAAAATGGGAATACAATGCTAAAAAAATTCTGATGAAAAACTCGCGAAGGAATAAAGAAAAAATGTGAAAATATTTTTCTTCATCATTTCATTGATTTTTCCGCAGCAAAATTCTTTGGGGTAGGGACTACTGGAATTCCAGTTCGTCCTGATGATGTACTTACCCGTCCGGCAACGTAAGCTCTGGTCTGTTGAGGCTTTGTAGGACATCAAAAGGATTACGATGCAGAGGCAAAACTCCGGTGTATTATATTAATGAACTCTGCCTCTTTGGTACTATTTTGTGGATTGGGGACTACTGATACTTTAGTAGAATGAGCTTCACAAAGTTGATTTAATGAAGAGTATTTAGTATGTCAATCCCTTTGGCTGAATCTATATGCTGTTGCGGCATATCTTTGTTCGTTGATTCGATATTTCATTTCCGTCAAGACGGGAGAAGGAGAAATGGAAAAAGTGAAGGAATTGGGAGAACAGGAGAATGGAGAGAAGGGAAAGGGGAAAAGAGATTGGAGAAAGACGAATTGAGAGGTGTAGGAGAGGGAAGGATAAGTTCAAGATAGAATAGAGTTGAGAATGTAAGAACCCGAGTCGAGGATTTGGTTCTGATTGGACGTACACAGGTCTTTCAAGATCTCTCCAGACCTAGATGGACCTGGTAAGTCCGAATCAGTTCTGCGACGTACTTTTCCAGAGACCATTCGAATCCTCAGTTCTTTTCGGTCCTGAGAAGCCCTCCTCGATGCTACCGAGAACGCGTGATTTTA